AGTTTTGTCTTCGGCAGACGATTCTTCCATCATTCGTCCGAAATTAATATTCTGCTTTCAGCAGTATAGGCTAAATATCAAATATTTGTATGTTGCATCTCTAATTTAGAAGCAGCAATTGCTGTTTATTTTTGAAAATTTAGTTTTTTTATTATAATTTTACAGTGCCGAGCATAATCTTGTATCTATTTACAATTTAAAAACTCATTGAAAAAGTTTTTTGCAATAACCGGACCCTATTTGCACAAATTCATAAAAGCGGACCCTGGTTGAAAGAATGTGAGTAATTTTCTCACAATTTCACGAAAACCGGACCTTTCACAAAATGTCTGGACAGACCCCTGTCAGTATATAAGACACGTTTACTCAATTGTATGGTGGGGTACCTTTTCATAAATGAAGGTTAACATTGTCAATAGCAAACACTTTCTGTCACTCTACCTCGAAGTGGCAAACCAGTGGCTGAAAAAGTAACTTTTAATCTAATTGCGAACTAAGAAATGATGTTATTGCATCATTTCTTGTTTGATTGCCCAGTTATAACATCATAGTTTTTTTTGTATTTTTGAACTCTATCAACAACAACAAAAATAGATTATTGATTTTACTATATCTATATTATTTCAGATGTTCGATATGAAAAAATTCCAGCAACATATTTCCAGAGAATTAAGAAGAGCGTATCCGGATCGCCGGAAACTGGAAACTCAGTGTATTTGTGTCGTAGGTTTCGTCAAAGACAATGCCGAAGTGCTTGACTTGCCTTGTTGGGTCATGATCATAAACATAGTTGCCTTGGACATGCTCAAATCAAAACTGCCACCAAGTAAGTGTTCTTCCAATTATACTTCATTCGATTCACGAATAGAGAATACAACCCCAGCTGCTATAAGAGTTTTGACTGATTTCTGACTTATAAAAAACATGAAGAAAAAAAGAAACTTGTTAAGCAGAAAGATTGATTCCTATTGAGAAAAGTCCATAGGAACGAATATTGAGAAAGGGGTGTGTCGAACATCATAATCTGTTATTGCTGTCATCCAGTGTTTCCCTAACTTATGACTTTTGTGTACCCTTTCCAAATTTTTCGCAACGCTGTGTACCACTAATAAAAAAAATGAATGCATTTTTTACTATAAAAAAAATTGCACAAAAGTTAAAAATCGCAACTGGCTGTTGTCCCCACTGATTATTAACTGTTAACTCTCCAAAAAATAGCCAATAGAAAAATACGTAATCGTAAATTTTCATGGCCAGCTTTGTTTTTAAATAAAAAATTTTTAAATTTTCGTTTGTTGCAAGATATTTCGCATAAGAACGCGTACCTCGGCTAAACTGTTCCCATAGCCCTGAGGGTACGCGTACCACACTTTGGGAAACACTGCCGTAATCTTTTACAGCTGAAAGACGATTATCAGACTCACTTTCAAGTTTAAACTAGGCAATCAAACAAGTTTTGACGCTTTATACACCCACCTTCATCAAAAATAATTTATCCAACCGTAATAAGTTTTTTTTTTTCGTTAGCATAAATATTAATCTGACATCCCCAGTGTATGTATTTTTTTTTTTTTTTTTNTTTTTTTTTTTTTTTTTTTTTTTTTTTTTTTTTTTTTTTTTTTTTTTAAGATTTCTAAAAATACGCATTTAGGATAGTTATTCAAAATACCCTGATATATATACAAAAGTTGATCAAAATTGTGGAAACACTTCTATGCTAACTCTATGTAAACAATTTTTTTTTAGCAACGATTGTTTTGGAAGATTTTACAGAGCAAAACTGTTGGAACAATTTAAAAAATCATGTTTGAAGCTTTTAGAAACGTCCTTTTTCAACTATGGAAAGTTTGCATTAACCAAAATGAGAGTGGAAAGTTAACAACTTCTTTCTAGCTTTAATAACAGCAATTTTGAAATCATTCTACAGAATTACTATATTCTTATAAGAATGCCTTTTTTAACTATAGTGGTATTGAAAAAGGAAATCAGTTTTTGAATTCCTACATTCAGTTTGGTCGATGCAAATTTTGCACAGTTTAAAAAAGGATGCCATTTCTAAAAGCTTCAAGGATGATTTTTCAAATTGCAGCCAACAGTTTTGCCTTGTAAAATCTATTAGTTGCTAAAAGAAAATTTGTTTAAATAGAGTTATAGAAGTGTTTCCATTATTTTGATCAAAGCAACATATTTTTATAATTTGTACATAATAATTTTTCAATTTTATATTTTGACTTATAATAAAGGATAAATAAAAAAACAGACTAATAAATGTTTATTTTTTGTACATGTAATGATCTTTCTTTATTATTCCTTTAGTAAAAAGTAATTTACAAAACAGAAAGTAAAACACACACCATTAATTAAAAGCAATTCAATATTTAGAAATCTATAATTAACCCCTTAACGATCGGTTAATTTTCAAGAAAACGGTCATAAAAGTGCCTATTTTTTTAAACACGTATTTGATTAGTGCTGACATCTAGTTTAAATTAAACTATCTAGAATTATCTTAAAAATATTCTGGTACTGCCATCTGGTGTGTAAAATGAAAAATAAAATGTTTTCTGAGCAAAAAAATGAATTAGTTTTATTCTTATTGGGGCGTTACTACTGAACACTCCAGCCCGAGAATATCACGGGAGCGAGAAATAGAGGGCGAAACCTCACCCCGTCATTTTTACGGGAGCGAGAAGGAAGGGGTTAAATCGAATTGTTGTGATTTATGAAGTGTTAATTACTTATTAATGTACAGTTTTTTTTACTTTTATTTATTTCTCACAAAATAAATTGTTTTTATATTTAATCTTAAATTATGTTATGTTAAAAAATGAAAATTGCAATAGAATAGCTTATTGCAATTTAATGTTTATTAATTTCATAAGGAAAAGCAACATATTTTAGTTACTCATTCGGGAGTATAAATACTAGAAATGTTTAATGTAATTAACTATTAATAGTATTAAAATTAGATCATTTTTTACAGCTGTCATGTCAAAACGTCCTAGTGCTCCCAATTTGGCCAGCATATTCGAGAGGCCACCTCTACGCCAAGGTAATCGCATAGCTGAAGAGGATCCGTACAGCTTACCCGGAATGACGTCAAGAAATTCCATTTACGGCATCTTGGGTGATCCTAAACCTCCAAAACTGCCTCCTAGAGATATTCCAAGGGTTCCTGTACCTACGGTAATTTTTGGAATTTGAGCATTTAATGTCATACACAAATCAGTTTATACAGTCATTATAAAATGAAGAATGTAATAGAACAGAGAGAGTTACACCTTTAATTCATAAATTCGACAAAGAATTCACATGTTAGAAGCACGCTTTTAAATTAATTACAAATACCCAGATCACATAAGACTCTTCTCCGAGTATAGCAGTTCTTAAGCAAAATTCCACTAAGAAAAGGCAAAACAGTGACCCAATAACATAGAAAGTTCTATCTGAAAAACAAATTTTCTTGCCTACATCAAATAAGGAATGGCCATCCAATTCAAGTTGAAAACTCTCCACTGTATTGTATTTAGAATTTTTTGATGTCATAGAAAGGTTTATTTTATTAGGCAGATTTAACACTACAACAGAAAGAGGCCGGGATAGCCTGGATGGTCAGGCAGTGAGCCCATGTCCAAGAGTTTGTGGGTTCAATCCCCGCCGGCCGAAGACTCCCCGTGTAGTAAATGGTGATTGATACACGCTAAATCTGTCGAGTCATGAAGTCATCCATGTTCCCATAACAAATCATACCTCTGGGGGTACTGATCCAGGAGTTTCCTTGTCTTCTGGATTGATTCAAAATTACAAGGCTACAGAGTTGAACATTAGTAGTCATAAATGCAAAATTGGGTCGGCTGTTCAAGGACGGATATAAAATATAAAACACTACAAAAAGCACTTAGGAAGAAGTTGCCTTCAATCTTCTTAGAAGAAACCTTTTTTTATCAGAGTAGACTAGGGTTGCATTTGATATTAAAGGATAGATAAACTTTAGCCAGAAAATAGGTTCTACTTTTTTCCTGTTAACCAACGGAGACTAATTTCCTTATTTAATTGAAGTTTCCCATTAAGCCGCCTCAAGATTATATGCATAAAAGATGCAATAATTCTGAAAAATGTATAAAAATGCTAAGATGCAGAAAATTCTCAGAACCTGGTATTTTCTCAAAAGTTTTTTTGTTTTGAAATTTCTATCCAAATTATGGTGCTTTTTCTAATTACAATAACTTTTTCAAAACAATTTAGAAAGTAAAATTTATATATTGTTAAAATCATTTTTTTCTTTAACCAAGAAAAAAATAACTTACTTAATTAACACAATTTTTGAATAAACTAGATAAAAACAATAGGAGTCAAAATATATTGAAATAGTTTACAATTTATAACACTAAATTTAAAGTCCCACTCATAAACATAAGGAATTTAAACTCATAAATAAACAAATTGACATATAAAGTGATTTGTGGTTATCTTTAACAGAAAACATTCCTTTTAGATAGTTAGTTTAGGCAGACCAAAACTTTTCCTAGGAATTCTTCCCTAATCTTGTACCCCTATAAAAATGTTCAAAAAATATTGTAATAATTTTGAAAACAACCTTTACATTTAAAAACTTGATACCTAGGTTTAACTAAACATATATCAATAAATAAAATGAAACAAAGATTTTAATTAAATTGTCTAAGGAAAAAAAAAACACTGCCTTATTAATAGAGAAAATATAATTCTCCATAAACGAGAAACTAGAATTCCTCTGCTGTCGGAAGAAGACCTTTAAATGAATAATTCTTTGAAGCTTTTCCATTTCAATTCAAAAGTTACTTTCCCACTGTAGCTAGTTTGAGAAATCTACTGTTGCCAATAAAAATTCCATTGTATGAACTATGAAACGTTTTCTTATTAGAAAAGAAAATTATAACTAAATTACCTAATTTTATTAGACTACATTTCCCCCCAAATAAGTCAGATTTGAAACATCTCAATTGAGCTTAAAAAGTATTTAAAAGCTTGCCAGGGTTATTATTTATTTATAACTCTTTCTATCCCCTATCAGTTATCTCGTGTATAAAACAAAATTTAATTTCATTGCTTTATAGTCAAAGTCCATTGCATGGTGTGTATAATCTGTTCTTTAAGTTATAATAAAAACACCCTAACTTATCACGATGTGAAGTATTTATAAACTATATCTTGCATAACATTTCACGAAGTTAATACTTTATTGTGAATCTTTTTTTTTTCCAGCCTGATTATGAAGACAAAGAAGATGAACGTTTTGATTTCCCAACGGCCAAAAATCACCATAACAATAACAATAATAATAACAACCAGAATCAAAATCGAAATAGGAATCCTAGTATATATGGTATGATATGCAATAATTCTTTTTTCTCCTATAAAAATGTGCAAGACTATACTCAATAACAATGGCCAAATTGCACCATAATAACCAGAATCAAAATCGAAATAATAATCTCAGTATAAATATGATATGAAGAGTAATTCTTTTTTTCTATAAAAATAAAGACTGCATGGGGTTTCAACTGTTCCCTAAAACAGAAATAAGTCACAGAAAAAATTATTACAAGTAATGCAAAGTTTATTAAATACAACAATTTTTTAAATTTTATCTCTTGCAGTTTTAATTAAGAATTTTTTATAATCTGTACAATAAAATTTATCATCAAAATTTCAAGTCAATGTGTCTTACATTTCAAACTAGACAAATGATTATTAATTATCGCACCCTATGCATAATTATAAGCAAATTTTGTAATAAAGCTTTTTTAAGTGCATTTGGGACATTCTATATGCCAGGAAAACTTATCATTTAAGGTAGAATTGCATGAATTGCAAAAATAATGAAAAAGCTCCACATTTATGTCTAATTAACACAAATCCAAACGAGATTGTTTTTCCCCCCTTTAAGAAAACAAACTTTATACCACAGTAGCAGTTTTGAGCAAAACAAGTTTTCAGTAATTCAACAAAAACGCTTTCTGGAATATAATTTTATAAATTTGTAAAAATATCTTCCTCTTTTTCATCAAAAGTTTAGGAGTAAAGGAATGCAGACACTATAGGTACCCATATATGCCAGACACTGGCCCGGCTTATTACAACGTGTGCAAAATTACAACATGTGCAGATCATTTTCCCCTTTCTTTACTGTTGCATATAAATGATCCAAATCATATAATCCTTACAAATTTGCTTTTCTTCTAAATGCCACTCAGAATGAGGTGAACCGGATTTGAATCCCAGGGATGGCTGGTCGATACGAATCCAGAGTCCCTTTGCCGTCAGTCTAACCGTGGGTAGTTCTCGTGGTTCTCCTCTCCATGTAACGCAATTGCGGGTTAGTTCCATCAAAAAGTCCTCCACGAAGGCAAATTTCTCCAATACTTGATCCAGGGGTTCCCTTGTCCACTGGATTGGGTTCAAAATTACAAGACTATGGAGTTGAACATTAGTGGTTGTAAACCCAAAAATTGGGTTGGCTGTTCAACGACGGTTGTAACATAAAATGAAATTCCACTCAGAACATCCTTATAATCACCATTTTCTGTGGATTACTTCGATTTCCTCTCCAAATTGATAGATAAGATTTTATAAATATTACATAATAAAATAAACACGAGATTGTATACGTAATAAATATGCATGATTTATTTGTTAAGAAATATATATGTGTACATTTTTTTCTCAGATGATCCTTACTATTGTGGTCTGAGTGCTCGAGTGCCGAAGTTCGGCAAAAAGCCACCACCTCCTCATATGCCAGGTCTGCATACACCACTAAGAAAAGCCCACAGTGGGAGTTATCTAAGTCTCATACGACCATACGATTCAGGACTCGGTAAGTTCAATATACTTCATTAATTGTATGCACAGTTCTTCTTGTGACAAAATGAATTGTGCTGCTTTATGACTTACCTTAATTGAAGGTTGACAAATATCACTAATTAGAATAACTTATCTAGTCATTAAAAAAAATCACACTATAAGAAAAGGTAATCTGAATTTATCTTTAAACAGTTTTTTTATACCATATTAGGATAGTTTCTTTTAATTTTGTATAGATTTTAAGATTTAGAAATATATTTGCATAATTTAAATGAAATGTGGTTTCAAAAATTGTGTTTTAAAACAAGGAATTTGAAGAAATTTTACTACTAAAATGTTTTTGTGAAAAAAATCCATGCTAACCACAAAGTTGAAACAGTAAAAACTATATTCTATTTTTGCAAGATTGAATTCTGAGTCTAGGTATGGTAGTCTAGATATTATACAAACAATGAGTTTTGGGAAGTATTTTATTTTCCTATTCAAATTAATTAATAACTAGTTTAGACTACCTGATTTTACCATGCAGTAATACTTTTAAAGATGTAAGTAATTAAAATATATATATATTACATTTTACATTTTTGGCTAAGTTAAATTTGAAAAATCCGTTAATTTTTTTTAATAAAATTTTAAAAATGTCATTGCAAAAGTGCTGTAATTTATTAGCCAAATCGTACAAAGCAATTTTACAAATTGAACCAATTAACATAACAATATATTTATAATAAATTTCAGAAACTATGTAAATTAGTAAGAAATTTATAAATTTCGAATTGAATATTTTGCACATTTTAAAATCAAAACAATAAATATATCAACAGCTTGATTTGATAATTTAACTTTTTTTAAATCATTAATTTAAAAAAAAAAATAAGTTGATTTAAATCAATGAATCCAAGTTACTACTTTCACCCCGTTTTTCAAAAACCTATAGTTCAACAGCCATTGTAGAAAAACTATGTAATTTTGGACCTGGTCTGACATGAACAGCACCTGAGCCGTTATTCCCCTCTCCAAGCTTCATTGATGCTCAAACTAGAGGATGTTGATCCATTATAGCTGCACATACATGCTATTTGTTTAATGAATTCACAGCCCCTCTATCATTGTGAGCAATGGCTTTACCAACTGTTTTCACTTTTTCTAATCATAATAAAATTTGTTACAGAGGTTCCTTGATCTCTTTACATTTTGTAAAGTTTCAAGTAAAAAATACTAACAACTGCAATCCAGTACATGCATAAACTATAACAAGGAAAAGCTGGGTTCATTTTCGGTCTGTCATAACATTTTGTGTAAACATTTTTGTGAGCTATTGCAACTTAAAGCTTAAAATATTTTTATGCTCAGAACTTTTTTTGTGTCCTAATGAATGTAATTCAAGCACATTTCAATGAAAATGTTACCAGATTTTATAAAATTTCAGTATTTGCTCTAAAAGGGGTTAAATTTTTACATCATTACATCTAGTTAGTTGCAGTATATTTCTATTATGACTGATGAGCAAGATTTCATAAATTTGTAATGGATCACACCTGTGCTAGAGCACCCAACATTTATCAGCTTTTTTTGCTGAATATCAAGCTTCTGATATCCATCATTGTTCATCCAAAATACACTGTTAATGCTTTGTGTAATCTACAATGCCCTAGTTTCATGTAAGAGCTTGTACTTAATAGTGTTGTACTTAACGCTTGTTCTTAAAGTTTTGGACCATTCCTGTTTTAATAAAACTACTTTTTAACATTTTGAAAAAATTTCTTTGTGCAGATGCATATAGTTTTTTAACAAAAGAAAAGAATGGGAAAACATTAAACCAATGTTAAATAAAAAGCTGTTAAAATTGACACATTCGACCAACTAAGTTTCATCCTTGATGACAGCCTCTGGCAACCTTCAATTTTTTTCTGCACAAATTTGTATTGTTTTAAGTCTTACATCTTCGAGTTAGGTGAAATATGGTGATGGCTCTGGAGCCATCCAGTTACTACTATGTCTTTAATTTTGAGCCACGGTGGCTGCCTTCCAATGAACTGAGTCTGGTTCTCGTTGGCTGTCCAATACGAATTCCACCAACCCCGCTGATATAAAATATCACACTGGTAGAAGGATCATAGGTTTGAGTCCCCTTGCTGTCAAGCTAACCATGAGAGGTTTTCCTCTCCATGTAACTCAAATCCGGGTTAGTTCCATCAAAAAGTTCTCCACAAAGGCAAATTTCCCCCTATACTTGATCCAAGAATTCCTGTCTTCTGGATTGGGTTCAAAATTACAAAGCTACGGAGTTGAACATTAATAGTCGTAAACATCAAACTGGGTAGGCTGTTCAACGACGATTATAATGTCCCTTTTATTTCAACCACACAATCAAAACGTCAAGAAAAATAAGATTTATTAGCAATTTTTTTCTGCTTCATAGACAATTCACTGATGGAATTTATTTTTCAGAATCTGACACCCACACTGGATCTAGCGAAGACGACTATTCCAGAATATACGGTCGACTACGAGCTCAGCCTGCTCATTACGGATACTATCAAAGAAAGGAATTATATGCAAGCAAATGGCGTTAAACTACACATTTCCCGAATATGGAAAAGTAAAAAACTGAACTTAAGCTAGACTTATGAACCTTGGTTCAGACTAAAGAAATTTTTTAAATTCTGTAAAAGACAATTTTGTGAAATATTTGTGTTGTGATCAAGTCTGAACAATTCTTAATATCCCCTTGTAAGATACTACACACTTTAAAATCGCTATTGCTGCTATTTTTTTTCTTTTAAGTTTGGCAATTTAAGTTCTACAAAGAAACAAAAATGCTGAATCTATGATTAACTGCTTTCTATGGAGGTGCTCTGAAACGTTAAGAATCGTGTCTTTTTTAAGTTTCTATTATTGTTTCCTTATTTATGTGCCTCTGGCACAGTTGTGTATTAATTTTTTCCCCCGAGTGATGATTGTAAATATTTCTTGTAAAGATTGTGAAAGAATACGAAAGCATGGATGGTTGATAACAACAAAATAAACTTTGGGTGCATTTTTAGCTGTAAATCTTATTATAGTTTATTTCTTATAGCCTTAATCAAATTAAAAATTATTAAAGAATTTCAGCTAAATTTTATAAAGAAATAAGTATTAATTTTACCTTGTGATTTTATTTCCTTACATCAAAATATATACACATTAAAACTTTTTATGAAAGCAAAAAAGAATTATTAATATATTTTTTTAATATAAACTTCTGCATAGAAGATTATTTCTATTTTAAAAACAAAATTTGGCATTGTTAAATTAAATTTTAATTAAAGAGAGATAAAAAAGTGCAATTTAAAAGCAGAAAAAGATATTAAACTATATTATAACAAACATTTCCTTTTTGTGTTTTTCTTCATGTTATTTGTTCATCCTCATTTAAATTTAGATTTCTGCTTGTAATGAAATGTAATTAGAAAAATAGAGTAACAAATTTTGTCCTGCTATAATATGAGCTACAAGAAGCATATCTTCTATTTAAACCTTAACATCCAAGCTGTTGTTATTAATGTTTTTAGGATTTTTAAAAATGGAAAGTTTATAAGTATTTTGTAAATACAAGTCAAACTATGATAAGATTTATTTTCTCTAACCAGCAGTTTTTGTCTAATATATTACAATTAAATTTTGCTAAGGTGAATATTTTGCATGTATTGTATTTTTTAAAAAAATAAATATATTTTCAATGTTATCAGATAGTTTTATTTTACACTTTATGTTGAATTTATGAACCCAAAATAAAAGGTATAACAAAATCTGTGAAAATAATTTTAACTCAGCTCAAATTTTGTAAAATACATTATGAATTTACTAAACATACTGCAATTTAAATATTCATTAACTTTCAGAACTCTAATTAATGAGTAATTATCATAATAGTAACTGAAAAATATAGTTTCCTAAAATGGAAAATATGCCAAAAAATCAAATTAAATAAGAACTTCAATATTATGTTTAAAGGACAAATATATCAATTCAATTGAAATCTTCGATATTTTTAAATTGAGCCAGGGTGGTTCAAAAGATAAAAGTGCTCACCTCCCACTGAAATGACTCAGGTTCAAATACCAATGATGGCTGGTCAGTACGAATTCCACAACCAGCTGGCACCACCCACAGTGGCAGACAGATCATGGGTCAGAGTCCCCTTGCTGTCAGGCTAACCGTGGGAAATTTTCGTAGTTTTCGTCTCAATGCAAAGCAAATGTGGGCTAGTTCTATAAAAAAAAAAAAAAAAAGTCCTCCATGAAGGCTAATTTCTAGCAATAATTGATCAAGGAGTTCCCTTGTCTTCCGGATTAGGTTAAAACTTACAAGACTACAGAGTTGAACAATGGTAATGGTTAACTGAAAATTAGATCAACTGCTAAACGACTTTGAAATAAAATATTTGTCGATTGTTTCATAAATAATTACAAACTTTATATAACAATTTTATAAGTAAACATAAGAGTGAAAAATATTGTAAACTTTATTCCTTAAAATTTATTAAATGAAAAATATATTATTGGATTTATAAAGCATATAGCTCCCTTAATATGTATTGCCTGTAAAAACCTGTAATTTAATAAGTAACAGTCATAATAAAGCTATGAAAAACAAAAATTCATAAAATGGATGATTGTAGAATAAGAACAAAAACTCCAATTAATTTTTTTTTAAAAATTTCTAAAATATTTTTATTATTTAATTTTGTAGCTTTTAAAACATATTTACTTATAAGACATAATCTTTAAAAATACTTCATTGATAGAAGCTTAAGAATTTTAAGTTTCTCTTTGATGCAGATGGGACACCGGTGTCCCTTATATATATATATTTTGACACCCTAATTACAAACAAAAATATATTTTGGTACTTTTTAATTATAAAAAACAGTCTAATAGCTACTNGATGAATAAAAAAAGAAAGCATATTTCAAAAATTATTTTTTGGAAGAGAGCCAGGTTTAGAAAATTTTACTTTTAACACAGAAAAGAACATTGGTGTTCATGCTCTATTTCATAACCATAAATTATTAAAATGCAAAATACAATATTTTTCACTTATACTTCATTAATACAAAAAGTATAAAAAAAATATGCTTAATAAAAATTCTACTTCAAAGGGTTAAACAAGAAATTACAATTGAATTAATTTTAAAATGACACAAGAAATATGAAGTTTTATTTCGAGTAATTTTTATAGTTAAGTAAGAAAGTATTATGCACTAAACATAGTGCAATTATTTGAAAATTAGCTAAAAAAGAAATCTTAGAAATGCCAAATAATAACAAAAAAATAAAAGGCTGTATTAAAAACAATGCAATGTGTGTTAGCTTATCTATAATTTAAGTTAAGTATATTACATATAATTAGAGATATCCAGTAAAAATGAAACTTTTATCAAAATTTATCACATTAAAAAATTTTTTCACCCAATTTTGTGCCTCTCTTATGAAAATCCATAGTACATAGTTGCCAACCCAAAAAGCCATTTGTTTTATTTCATCAACACTAAAAAAATTCAGTCCGATTCATTCATGGGTCTCCTGTGAGCCGGCGATGGCTCAGGGGATAAAGCATTTGCCTTCCAATGCGGTGAACCAGGTTCAAATCCCATGGATGGCTAGTCGATATGAATTCCACATCCGGCTTGCACTGACCACAATGCTGACATAAAATATCCTCAATGGTAGACTGATCATGGGATAGAGACCCCTTGCCGTCAGGTTAACGATGGGAGGTTCTCATGGCCTTCCTCTCCATGTAACGCAAATGCGGGTTAGTTCCATCAAAAAGTCCTCCACAAAGGCAATTTTACTCAATATTTGACCCAGGAGTTCCCCTGTCTTCTGGATTGGGTTCAAAATTACTAGGCTATATACTTAAACATTAGTAGTCGTAAGCCCAAAAATTGGGTCTGCTGTTCAACGACGGTTATAAAATAAAATAGGTCTCATACATTTGTTAAAATTGCATCTAGTCGTTAATTGCATAAAAATTACTTCCACTTAGCATATTAAAAAAAAATCTTTTGTTTAAATTATAGAAGCTGACATGTATGTTCTTGTCTGCTTCGGGGAACTGAAAAGACCAATGACAACATTATATATATTAGGAATTAATATGCAATATTTCAGGTACCTATTACCACAATACCAGTAATACATATTGTAAAAATTAATTAAACATAACTCACTAGTAGTTTGACGACTTTTTACATTTCCCAAACTGGATAAGTATCAACCATCCAACTACTATGAAATTTCTGTGGTTTCAAAAAATGTTTTTCCTAGAGGTGGAAAAGGTAATGCATTAATACTTTAATAAATTAGAATTAAATGAATTTTGTCAACCACCATATATGTGTTAAACTATATATATTAATGGACAATTAAATTAGTGATCACAATCGTTAGATCAAATAAGTTTTTTAAATACTGTTTATTTATTTATTTTTAAAAATTGTTTTAACTCAATAGCACTGTAAAAAAAATTTCTCGAAAGCCACAAATGTTGAAAGTATACAACAGCAAAAAGTTAAAGAAAGAAATAACATTGTTGAACAAAAAGTGAGAAATAATGATATTTAGGTAAACATAGCTTACATAAAAAATATTACAGTTTATTAGATAAGTTTTTCCTTACTTCATATCTGCTTTCTTTATGTCTTATCCCAGTTTTCATGGAATGAAAGATTAATTACAACAATTAAGTAACGAATCTTTAAAAAAAAGTGGAAAAACAATATTGCATTTCTGGAGTCGTTTGAATCTCTAATTTCACTCTACCTAGAACTGCAATGACAAAATTTCTTTTTAATAGTTTGACAATTTATCAGTAATACAATATCAACTAAAATTATCAATTTTCATACCTTTGAAACAATTAGTTTTTCCAGAGTAAATCCTATGCAGTTACATTAAGTTTTTAAGAGGCTAAGATGAATTGAAGCAATAATCACACCACTGTTCATTACTGATAGCTTACTGTAGAAGCACAAAAACTACTATTAGAACCATTTTGATCGTGCAATTGTACATTTTTACCCATTGCAACGATGCACTACTTTAACCATATAAGTTAGTTTATTGATGCAGTTCCAACTTACATAGAATGTATATCTTATCTTCATTTATCGATTACAGCCAAATTTATTAAAGACATGAGACATCACTAACATCCTGAGGTCCACTAATCATATATTTTATAGTTTAAGTTTAATAGATGTTTTTTCCTTAATTATCTTAGTTTAATATGTTATGAGGTATTTACGTTACGTGTTTAGACATTTTGTACAGTTTTATAAAGAAAAAGCTAGAAACTTAAGTAAGAATGTGATTATAAATTAGAATTCATATAATTTGCATTTAAAGTTGAATTAGGTACCTCAACATTCCTTATTTCTTTACATGGCATATCAAGGTACACTGGCATACACTTTGAGAAACACAGAGTTAAGCCATTTTATAACCAATCGCTAAAATGAGATCAATCAAACACCTACTACTTCATAAAAATAATGAAGGCAAGATTTTTTTTTAAAAAATTCAATTTCAGAACTATTATAATCAGACCTAATGAAGTTGGTGCTTATGTTAATAAGGATAAGCCTTTGCATAACAGAAAAGAAAAAACAAAACTATTTTTTAAAAAAATGTTTTGCATTATTTTCATGAATTACCAAATTGGAAACCTTAACTCCACTTGATTCTCTACTTAAAATTGTCTTATGAAGTTAGTATCTATGGTGGCAGTGTGACTGGATATGGTTTCGTCATTTCGAACATTTGTAGCTGAAAAATAGAAACTTAATAAAATAATTTGGCCCTCTTTGGCACAATATTCATGAATCTTGGCTCAATAAAGGTTCAAAGAGCCGTTATTTCCCGATATTTACCCCGAAGATAATTGTCCGATTTACCCGATATTTTACAGCCACTTTATAACGAATATCGGCCATGTATAGAATTATCACATTCACCCCATATTTTATACTCATTAACCAGCCAATGTAGGCCATATATTACCCCCATAAAAGCGGATATTGCCCCTATATAGGACTAATACTAAAAAATCTAGACATCCCAATGTTGGTTCGTAGGTGCGTGTTCATACAGGGCCCATATTGAGCTAATTTTGAACCCAACTGGGGCCATGGTAAAATTGTTGCTAGGGTTGATATACTTGAAAAAATTTAAATGTTCTACTGAGCTATGATGCAACACAGAGTACATTACATTTCAAAAAAGAACATTTTAAACCGTGCTAATTTATATATCAGGGTGCGTAGCGAGATTTTTCAACAAAAAATAAGCACCTTTTAAGTACTTTTTAAACACTCAAAAAAAATTTTTAAGCACTTTCCAAAAAACGATTATAATTAGGACAGATTATAAATCATTTAATCATCAGAAATATAAGTCATAATTATAAATTATTTAATCATCATGTGCAGTAATAAAAAAAAATTTTCTTTCATTTGAAGTCCTTAATTTATAAACATAAAATCAATACAATTCAAAACCAGTTTCAAAAACTTCACATAATCATGATAAAATAACTAGTTTCCGATAAATATTGCAGAAAAAATAGTGAAAATCAGGCATTTTTTTATAATTCAGAACGACAATCGACACGGCAAAAAAATATCTCTTTTTAAAAGATAAAAAATTAAGCACTTTTTACAAACCCCGAATAAAAAAAGCACCTTTAAGCACTTTTTAAAAACGCTACACACCCTGTATATGCTAATTTTGTATTTCAAACAAGTGAAACACAAAGCCTCTGTTAAAAACAAACACCAAATAACATATTTTTTTTAAAAATGGGGAAAAAAATCATATGGATTCAGACTGGAATTGTAAATAATCATTATTTTATTATAATATATAAATAAAAACATTTGTTTTTGCTATGACATTTCTGTAATCTTTGCAAGAAACTTATTATTTCAGAGTTTTAATTTTAAATTTTTTAGGAACAGGAGGGTCGAGGTTGTTTATCCAACGTTGCATTCCACTCTTACGAATTTGAGCAGAAAGCCTGCGATAGCATGTTAATCCGAACATTGAATTTAATGCGATTGCATGGATGGTCGTACGTTAGATTTTACCAATCAAGCGCATAAGTTTGAAAAGTACAAAATTTTTGAAATCCAGACTTCAAAATAGTAAAATATTCGGCTTCCAAAACCTAGGCTAGAAAAGTAGCACCCCCAACACCTTTTAAGAATTTGGCTTTAAGTGTTTTTGAATTTTTTTAAAAAAAATCAGATCTACAAAGACTTTTTTTCTCCAATTTTAATGTAAATGTTTATAGCAGAAAATGTTTAACAATGAGAAACATAAATCACATGTAACTCAGTTAACTTTTAAGATACAACAAAAAAGAAACAAAAACTTATCAGAAATGTATAAGTTTACACCAATAGAGTTCAAAACCATGATATTAAATCAAAAACACAAAACAAGGTATCATTCAATTAATGAAAAATGAAAATGCATTTTTCATTATACATTCATGAGGACTAGTACAAGACAAACATTCAGAAATATGTACACACTAACTACAACAAAAGAAAAAAGCTTCAATATATATATTGAACATAAGGAGAAACTTACCACCTTAAGTTTTCCAAAATAATAAAAGAAACTCATCACCAAATGCAACACATCTAATCTTTCTTTTTTTTTCAAAAAATATATATATTTATTTTAACAGGGAAAAAATGTTCGCCATGACACAAAATGAATCACAGAAATTCTACATCTTTCTCTGTAAAAAATGTAAAAAGTAGGTTTTAGTAAATAGATATAGCTTTTTTGAAATTAATAGTTTTTTCTTAATAATTATGAAGAAAGTTTTGAATCATTTTTCAGTCAAAATTCCTACTTTCCTACTACTGTTTTAAAATGACATAAATATGTTGTACTTACACTTATATCTTCCAAACTTGGTTAAATTACTCTTTTATGAATCCAATAGTTTCCAGTAATAGAAAAACAACATTAACAGCATTTTGATTTTTTTTTTCTTAAATAAAAATTATTTTTTTAATATTGACAAGAAGAAAACTTTAGCCAATATTGTTTTGAAGAGGATTTACATAGTTTAAAACACTGAATTTGATTACATTTCTATTGTTTTACTTTTAATTCAATAGTTTCAAGTACAGAAATATGAAAAAGAGTCAACTAAATTATAAACATGTGTTAAATATGGAGAATAAATATTCCAGAATCTCCCCTATAATGTAATACTATTAAAACTAAAAATGTTAAAACAGAAATTAAAAAACTGTCTTTTTTTTAATTATAAAATGAAAATTTCTATTGTAAGAAATATTTTTATCAGAAATTAAATTTTTTTTTCTTCTTAATATCTTAAAAAATATTTTGGACTTTGTTTAAGATCCTCAAATTTTAGTTGTATTTATTCTGAATCCAATAGTTTTCAGTAAAGAAAATTGAAATAATACCAGCTGAATTAATAAATGTTCCCTGTTTTTGTCTATTTAAAAATAAATAAGTCATATCTTCTATGAAGTACAAATGAAGCTATATTAAATAAAATGCTGAAACAGATACTTTGCAAATACATAAATTTGTACAAGTTTTAATATTGTTACATCAATTACACCAAATTGTAAATATTGTAACAAACATTACTTTTGATTTATTTATGAATAACTTGATACATTCTGAAATTCCCAGACATTATTTTACTATTAGAAGCATGGTAGACCAAAAATATTTTTTAAATTAAAACAATACATTTGTTTTGAAATACATTTTAAGAAATATGAACAATTCGCAAATAATAAATATATCAATACAATCGAATAAGCTACACATATACTTAAACAAAAAAATTTCATTTTAAGTACTTCTATATCCAGAAAACAAACACTTGTAAAATCTAATTTAATATTTTGTAATAAAACCAGAATCACTCACTTCTAACAATTTTAATAAAAATAAGTACCAATTTAGAAAAAATGAATGTATTGAAATTCGTACACTAGATAAAGCATTGGTTTAAAGTACCACTTCAAGATTTCTAAAATTAATGTAAAGTAAATAAAAGTTTTTTCAGAAATTTATTTGAAAAATAATGCTAAATTTTTAAATTTAACTACTTAAACAAGATTTCAAAATAAAAAAATGGGTGACAATCATTCAAAATTTTATAAAAATATAATTAAAAGACATAGGTTGAATAAAATAAAATCAGTTTTTTAAGTTGGACACAAATCACAATAGTAAGCATATTTAACTTATACTTGTAAGAAAACAATATTGCTAAATTTTGTTTAGATTATTTTCAAGCCTTTTTAACAATTAAATATATTTGTCCAAACAAAACAAAAAAAGAACTTCACATCAGCCTTGCACTAAAAAAAATCACCAATTTTCTTTAGTGTTGTTTAGGAGGAACATCCATTTTATTTTAGGTTTAAAAAAAAAAATAATAAAATAAAAATTGTTGAATTTACTTGCCCTCAGTTAACAGACAAGTGCCAACAAAAGAAAAAAATGACTTTTTTTGAACAATTTATCTTGAAAAAAATCAAAAATATTACAGTTAAGATAAATTACCATTAAATAATATTGACTAAAACAGGAATTTATATAAATTGATGCAAATTAACTCAGGGCTAGCTTTTTGCCGGCAGAAACTGGTTTTTGCCAGGCCAGTGGCAGAAACTGGTTATAGCCGGTAAAAACTGGCAGAAACTAAAAAAACTTCTATATTAGTTTTAGTAATTGCTTAATGACATTTTGTTTAAGTAAACTGAAAAATGTAACTCCATGTAACTGTCACAAACTTTTTAATTCATAGTTTGTAAATATTATTGTCATAGCATTGCAAAACAAATCGGCATGGTGGTCCAGTTTTAAAAAATATGCAATAGAGGAAAGTTTCACAAATCTTGCTTGTTTCTTAAAGGCAATGCCTGCTAGTTCTGCTGAACTTGCGAGAATTTTCTCAAATTTCTTGTTCGTGCATAGCAAATTCAGAAATTGTTTAGGTTTAGAAACTGCATCAAAACTTGTTTTTTGTTATAGATTACTGCAGAGTGCAAACACTGTAATATTTGATTTTGAATGGTGATAATTTTGTAAATAAATTGTACTTTGTTTAACATTTAATTGTTTTTTCTATGAAATATCCATTGTATGTCAATCTCACTACTTACTTTTATGTCATTTTCTGAATTTCTGCCACAAATGTGGCAAAAAAGAGTTTCTGCCATGCCAGTTTTAACCGGTTTCTACCAATGGTTTTAACCACCTCGGCAGAAACTTGTCAACCTTGCATTAACTTATTGACCATATTTTTTTTCAATTAATGACTTTAAATACTGCTTTACAGTTACCTTGCATTTACATTAAAAAAAAGGAAAATATATATCTATGCATATATTTATATACACATAATAACTGTATGGATAATTGTGCTTTTCCACATACTGTACAATTCATCAAATCCTCTGATAATTTTGATCACAATAACGAGAGCACTTTAAGGTTCTAGTTTCAGAAAAGCATAGTTATAATAATTATAGCATATCACTGGGAGAAATTATGAGCCACATACTTCAACTAACATGCAGTTGGCTTATTGATTGAGAAACAGTATCTATATCAGTTCTAACAGCAGTATATGGACAACAGCAATCGGGAGGACAATCTATTATTTCCAAATCATCTAAGGAACGTGAGCGTGTTATTGAGCTTCCTTGACTGGTCAGTGAACTTTGGCTTTTGACTGGGCTACTCGGATTAGACTTGTTGCCACTGTCTTGCCTCGACACTGAAGGTGGACTAGCTGTTTCGGGAGGTAAGACGAAAACAGTGCCTACGGGAATGCTACTTTTTAAGCGCGCTTGCTTGAAGTAAGGCATATTTTGAGACCGACGTAGGCGGCGATGCAACTTGCTAGGATGGGATGTGAAAGAGCTGAAGCTTGCTTGTGGGTAAGATTCATCATCAGATTCGCTTTCTGCACTAGCACTAGATTTTTTAGATAGAGAAAATTTTTTTATAAAGTTTGGATTCATTTGTACAACACAGAGAGGAGCAGAAGAAAAGGAATGACTGGAACGTTTCTTTTTTGCCTTTTCTTCCAGGTAGTTGATCCGACTACCTGTCACGCTGCTGAGCATTCCTAACTTATGAAGAGCTGAATCAAGTTCCATGGTAGAAGAAGATGAAGTGGTTTCACAAGGATCTTTTAAGTCTGAAGAACATTTTTTCTTAATTTTCTCATCAACATTGTCCAGTGAGTTATTTGACAATCCGTTAAGTTGGTAGAGCTCATGAAGAGCAGAATCTATTTCCATTGAGCTACAGTTTACTTCAAAATAATAATATTTTGTAAGATTCCTGAAAAAAAATAAAAAGAATCAATATGATAGAAAAATATTCTAAACAAGATCAAATCTTTTGTTTTGCAAGAACATCATTAACATTAATGCTACAGTTAAATCTATGCTCTTACATGGCATTGAGTCATGGAAACTTGGAAAGCAACAAAAAAAAAAAAAACTCAACACTTTTCAAACTAAGAGTAATTTTAAAGATGTACTGACCAAATTATAAAAAAGTGAACTCTATTATAAAACAAAAATTAAACCCCTCACATTAGAACTGAAAAACAAAGATGGTCTTGGATAGGACACCCACTAAGAATGTTTTCAAGATATGCAACTAGAACAGCTTTGACATGGGTGCCAGATGGAAAATAGAAAAGAGACCAGCTGAAACTAACCTGAAAAAAACAAATAATAAAGGAAAGAAACATCCTGGGATGGTCCAGTAGGGAGACTGCAATTGAAAGGCACTTGACCAGCAGGGATGGAACCTTAACTTGTGGCCTAATGCGCCACCTGGCATAAAGAGAATTATGTCAGAATGGCAAAAAAAATAAAATTTTATAAATAATTTGAGAATAATTAACTATTAAAATTGCAGTAAAAAATAATAAGTAGGCCACTCTGCAGTTCGTAGAAATTTAACTATGGAATTGAAATTTGATATGCTACTATTTAGAATACATTTAAATCAATAATTTTTCAAAAAAAGAAATAGAGATTTAAAATGTGTTGCTGTTGCTAAAACTATAGAATTTCTACACAGCTTCTCAGCGGAAATGTTCAGCTACTCAGCGGAAATGAAACTAGAGAATTTCAATAAGAATGGACTACTAGTTAAAATACATTTTGATTAAAATTAATGACAAGTTTTTCAAAAATAAAAAGATTTATATCATGTTCACCCACAAAATTTCCTTTTTTTTAAATATAAAGTATTAGGGTGACCCAGGGTAATTCACGATCACTCTGTTTCTGGGGTAAATAATGATCACCTAAGTTATATTTAAAAAAAATATTTTTTTTTAAATTTGAGACATGGACAAGAATGCTTGTACACTTTACTAAAGTACAACTACATTTACTTAATAATAGCTTTTTGTCTTATCTAACAAAATAAGTATCTTTTAAACTGCTTTCTGTATTTTCCATTTCAAAGATGGGTTTCAAAATGTGCACATTTCTGCAAAGATCCCCCTCCTTCTCTTAATAATAAATATTTTGAGTTACTTTCTTTTTCTTTGATATAAAAATAGTGTAAGCTTTTGTTTAATTGTTTCACATCTACTGTAAACATTATAATTGATTATAGAAAACTGTATCAAATGTTGCCCCCTACAGATGGGGTAATTATTGATCACTGGGGTAATTCCTGATCACTGTCATTTCTTCTTATAAATAGTATATAAAATAGCTAATAAATAGCTAATTGTCTTTTCTTAAATAACAGTTCATATTTATTAAGTGGAACAACTATAAAATATATTTTAACTGTCATCACAAAATTTGTTTTTAACGGTATACAAGACTGTATTCTGATTTGCACCATTTCTGGTTTGTCATACCTTGCTTCTATCTTAATTTTATGTGTGTACATTGTTAGAATAATTTTTAAGTTTATAAATTAGCTTAGTATAAATATGGTGAGAAATTATTAGCCTAAAAAGGATACTAAGCTTCTAGAAAGCAAAATTAGTGAATTTCTTTTAATGATTGAAAATGAAAATTTCAATGTGAGAGCTGCTGCCAGAGCTGTTGAGTTGACATACCTTACTTTACTTTACACTTTCACTTAATGAAGTTAAAAAATCCAGCAAAAGTAACCCATGTGGGAACTCTCTTATATTTCAGCAGAACATGAGAATGAGTTGGCTGATTGCCTAAAATGTATGGCATGATGCAAAGATTTTTGGAAAATTTAAAGTGTTAATCTTTCTTCTTGCTTTTAAATAAATAGTTTTATTAGCTGCTTAAACATATCTTTCTGGTTTATTTGTTTGATCTTGATGTCTTATTTGTTAATTACCATTATATAATTATTTTTAAACAGCCCCTTTACAATAAAAACTGGTGATCAGTAATAACCCCAGAAGTGATCAGGAATTACCCCAGAAATGATCAAGACCAGGGGTAATTCCTGATCACTAAAAATTTAAAATCTCTTAAATTCTAATTAGATTTTCAAACAAAAGAAGGAGGCATAGGACTAATCTCATATAGCCTCAAACTTCCAGTAAATATTAAAATTCTATCTTGAATAGTTTTTTCACAAAATAGATGTTTGCATTTTTTGATCAGGAATTACCCCAGGTCACCCTACTACATGAAATAGTTTGAATTAATTCTTCTTTAATACTTGGTGTCACTATACTGCCACTGGAATCAACAATAAAATACTTTTCATATAATAAATAAAATGAAAAATTTGATTGGTTAACCTGAAGGAAAAATTCAATTGTTTATCCTGAAGGAAAAATTCAATTGTTTATCCTAAAGGAAAAAGTCAATTGTTAGAATTTGCCCTGATTTATTTATCACATGCAAATAAGAACATAGAATGAATGAATATATGAATATAGAATTTACATTTACAATCCACAAATAAAAAAATACAATTAATAAAGCTAGGTTAATTATTAAAATGATAATGCAATGAAACTAACGCATAAAATACAAATTTTATGTAGTAGCAAAATATACATTCATCTTTCTTCAACTTTAAATAGGTTCCAGTTTACCTATTTATTTGCTGACACAGATATTATGTTTTTCAGTTCTTTATTCTCATCTTTGACCTTATAAATATATGCCACATCTGGTAAAATATGTAGGACTCTTCTACAATATGTACTCTACTAAATAGTGAGTACAAATATACTGAAGCATTAAAAAAAAAATTCTGCATAAATAAAGAATAAATAGAAATAGAATGTCAACATTTAGCAAGAAAATAGTTATTGGTTCTAGTTTCTAGCAATTTCCTATCTATTTAATAGAGAGAATTTTTTATAACTTATCCTTTTAAGACAAAATATAACTGATTTGTACAAAATATTTCATTACGAAGGAGTGCACTTAGATGCTTACGAACATTAAATTATCTATAAACTACAAAACATTATCAGGAAAAGAGTTTAATGATAACAATAAACGTACCCTTACGTATATTGAAAGTTCGAATGTTATCAACCATTAAAATAATTACAAAAATGAAAACAAAATACATATTTTGGTGGTATTACTTAATAAATAAAATAACTTGCATGTAACAGTAGTATATGCGCAAAATAATTGTAATATATTTATTTATATTACATTGTAAAATACAAATACTATGATTTTAACAAAAATAATAATTTACAAAAATATATCAGTAGAAAAACGAAATGTCAAAAACAATAAATAAACAACTCTAGAAACATTTCAGATAAGAAGAGAAAAACAGAACAAGGAAATATAAAAATAAATTATAAACCAGACAACTGCTCAAAAATAAAACAAAGACTATGAGTATTTACATTGTTGGCAAATTTTACTATCGACACAACAACAAAATTATTTATTTTAATTATAGCTTAAATAATACCTTCACAACATATTATCCTGTGCTGTCGAACAAGTAATTTCACATTTGTAAACAAATAAATCGTAATAAACTTTTGTCAAACCTTGAAAATCTATCTCGGAGGAGAGAATTCATACATCTTGAAATTTTGAACGATTTTAACGCGAAGGAATCAAAAAGATGGTGTGAGATTTCACAAACAGGATATGACGTAAATTATATTGATTAAAGAAATCAATTTATTTGCCATGTTATGAGAGTTAAAGTTAAAATATAAATAAAATATCATATTTAAGTTTATCATTTTAGCATATAATTAATAAATTTCAACAAGTTCTGACAAACTTCAGTTCTATTTAATTTTCGTCGCACTAAGGTGGCCACAGGTGGCGTAAAACGGAACTCTCTACCCATGGCAACATTTCACCATTAGAGTGAGGAGAAAGAAGTATGACAGTTTATGTCTTTGATTTTCAAATAGATTAAAAACTTCTAAGTTAGGAAACTATGTAGAACTGAAAACTACATTAAACATAGTTCCAAAAGAAAGCATTGTAGAAATTTTTAAAAATATTTGTGACTATTAAATACGAAAAATATTAAGAAAAGAGAAAATAGTATAGTACAATCCTATACAACTGAGAAGAGAAGGGGGGAGAACCAAGCCATGGAACCAGTCTTCTCCCCAGATAGCGTAAACGAACATTGCTATCGAGAATTGGCGACAATCTGGAAAACATTCCTGAGGATAATCCGAAGACTTAACATCACAATTTTTATCCTCTGCAGAGGGGAAGGCTCCCCTGCTTTGGTAGCCCGACGACCTGAGCGAGAAGTCTAGCACTTAAATTCAGAACAGATCAACGAGAACCAAGGCAGTACACCCATGGTCCGTTTACTGGCTGATCAAAGTGGTCACCCACACACTCACTGACCGCAACCAGTGATGCTTGACTTGAGTAATACGCAGATGCGAATTCTGAGAGAACTAATCATTCGCATCTCAAAATTCGCGTCTGCGTTTGTTTTGCATGCAGTGAAAAGACTTTAGAAACCTTTCTGATATTTTCCATAATATGCTTTTATATCATCCCATTGATCAGCTTTTAAAAGACCCGAAGTTGGGCGGTATCGATCCTCGCTTTACTGTTCTGCCGAAACGCACTTGACGTCGCGTGCAGGTCGTTGGGCTACCCAAGTGGAGGAACTATCTTCATATCTTCTGCAGAGGATCAAAATTATGAAGTAATATCACAGTTCTTGCGTGATGTGAATAAAGTATTAGTACTAGTTATTTATTTAAATGTTTCATGTATATTGAAATAGGCAGGCAAAGTTTAAAACGTATGAACCCGTCAAAAGTTTATAAGTTCGATTAGCATGTCTAAGATAAAACTCAAGTAATAATTAAATATTCTATTTACACATCATATAAATTGATAATTGTTTATATCATTATATTTTGTGCAACATGCATTTTATGTTGTAAAATAAAGGGCAACATTACATGGAGTACTACGAATTGGACCATATGATTAAGAAATAAAGAACCATTTACTTAGGGGTAATATTTTTATATCTGAAACTGCGTCAAAAAAAATCGCTAAATTTCAGCAACAACCGGAACATCCGGGAGGGCAAACACCACGACAAAGCCTTTTAGAATATATATATATATATATATATATACACAAATTAACATGAAAAACATGAATAAAATAAAAATAAAAAACTAAATGGTAGAGAAACAAGANAATACATGCTAGTTTGCATGTTTAAAATCAAAATTCGGGTAATTTATGTACCAGTATTTCAATTCACACTCTAAATGGTTTTTCTCTTAAATATGCATTAACCTGTGATCTCGAAACTTAATTAATTAAATGTGTTACTCAGACAAACGCATTGCCAAAATTTCATTACTCTACAATAATTTTTCTGGGTGTTGTGATTTTTTTTTCCACCAGTGTATATTGCTTCAAATTCTTTCAATTTTATTATAATTAGATAGAAAATAAATGATTTTAGAAAAGGGAATTAGTAGGAAGTTTTAACAAACTTATCATAATGAAGTTAAGAAATTTTATTTACTGTTATCTTCTCATTTTACTTATAGCACACGAGTATTTTTTTTTTCTTTCTAAATTAACGAATCATATGAAATTAGCGGAAATATTATTGTATAACTGCTATTATTTCAAATAGGATAGGAAACTGTTATTCTGTAAAGGTTCTCTACCCTTTCGAGAATGTTTATCAAAGCAGCGCAATTTTTGTCTTTCGCATTTGAAGCCATGCTCTGCATGACACCCAGTTTACACGAAGTTATATATATATACAAAATGTGAAATTTTTTATTGATTTTTTTTTTATTAAAGCACACTATACTAAAAGTATATAATTAAAACATTCACATTTCAAAAAAATCTAGGTATCAGAACTAGGCTTATACTACGTTAATTGGAGCTCAGTTCGGTTCTGATGCAAATAGACTTAATGCATGCGCTGGAGTTGTTCTACATCAGTGGTTTCCAACTGGAAGCCTTTTTTTGTGGCCCGCGAACTAAAATATATTAATTGTCATTTTTTTACTGACAATTTTCGTAAAAAATCTATATGGGTTTTAAATACCTTTCTCGTTAATAAAAGTAATAATTTCTTCGTCTCTGTGAAATTTATCATACCAACGGTGCAAAAAAAATTATTTCTCAGGTTTTGCATCCAAGAAAATATTTATTCAAGTACAAAAATAATCGTGTATGTTGCATACCAACCTTTTTAAAGTTTTATATCTTAACAATTAGATATCTGTTGCACATTAATTGTTTGATACATGGGTGCACATTAAAGTTATTGCAGCCCGAATTTTTTATTATGCAATTAAATATTTTTTAAAAACCTACTTTTTATTTTAATTTGTAATTCAATACTTTTGTTTTGTACAACTTGGTAAAAATCTGACAGTAATATTTAATGTTCCTTCAAGCATAAAAGAGTCCTACATAAAATTTTGATAAAGTTGCGGCTCGCCATTTGAGTTGTGTTTTTAATTGTGGCTCCCGGCCTCATGTAAGTTGGAAACCCCTGTTCTACATGTTCTCTGAAATTATGAGTGTTTGGAGAAGAGCTACCTAGCAAATGTATACCAGATAGTCGAACTTACTACTTAAATGGCACTTTTAACCTTAAAAAACATCAGTACAGGGTTGGTAAACTGGGCAATGGCACTCACATTGCTTAATTAATTAACAGTTATTATTGTTGTTTAGTATTTTTGGGGTTTAATTTGGAGAAAATAATTTAACCTTTGCCGACGGCCCCTTTTAATGGAAGGATTCTAATATAATTTATATTTGTGAGGTGATATTTTAAAACCTTAATTGGTAACCTGCGAAAGTATCTCAAGAATGGGGGGGGGGCTCTCTCCCCTCCCTGTATATGTGTGTGTATATATATTTAATATATATATTTCTCTTTTAACGGCATTTATTTTTATTCCGGTTACTGTGACTTATGAAACCAAGAATTTTCCCATCCGGCTGAAATAGGGACGTATATTTACTTTGCAGGAGAATGAATAAGGGATTATTTGGTAGCAGTTTTCACCAAGGAAATGTTAAAGCTCACTTGAATCAGAGACATTTTTTTCTTAAATTCAGGCAAAAATAAATTATCTGTTTGTTTGTTTTTTTAAATTTTTATTGTAAATTAAATTACAGGAATATTGAGTGAAAAATAGTAATTTTAGAAGGAACTGTGTCACTTTTTATTAAAAGTGAAGGGGCTAAAGCCCCTTTTGACCCCTTGTTGTTTGGTCCCTGGTTCCCTTAACTTTCAAATTCGCTCAAATTCCAGGAATAAAAAATAAATTATAAAAAAATGTGAACATAATAATTGAAAGAGCAACACATTCCAACACCATAATATTTAATTAATATAAACAACAACAAGCAACTATGCTGCATAATGGACAACAAAAATGCTGCTATTTACAGCTGCAATAGTATTTACAAATTAATACAAAATCATTTACATGATAATGATTGAAGAATATTTTCAAACAGTGATTTAAAGGTTAACCAGTTACATTCTAATGACTTGATAGTTAATCTATTTCATTTGCTCATTAAATTAAGAGTCAAAACTAGAGATTGATGAAATGATGAACAATAATTATATTCATGATGATAAAAAAAAAATTAAAAAAATCAACATTCATAACACTTAATGTACACATGTTTGAATTACATCTACTTTATCCAATTATTTCTCCTTTAAACTTAACTAAATAACAAAAGACACTCAACAATAAAAATATTTAAAACAATAACATTATATCCCTAAGTTTTCAAACTTTAATAAATCTCAAACCTTCAAATAAATAAAAGTTTAAAAAGTGTTTTTCAATCATTTTTTTTAACGAAATGCAATTCTTCTCCAATTAAAATTTTATTTCATCGCAACGAAAATGTAGCTTTAATTTCATAAGCAGCTTAATTCACTAACATACACAAAGAAATTTTTTATTTTATTTTAAGTTATAATAACTACAAATTATTCGAATAAGATGAATAAAAAACAAATAAGATCAGGAAGAATTTAATATATTACTATATGAAAAGCCAAAATATATTGCAGATAAAGCAAATCACTGAATAACAAATAGAAGAAAAATAACAAAATAAATTTGATTTTGAAAAGATATACCGAAGTTTTATGATAAATTTAAAGCAGAGTTAACAAAATTAATATTTTTCAATACCTCTGGCATAAGTAAATAGATAATTTATCAAAAAGACTGTATTGCTTAAATTTAGGAACACAAAGAAAATCAAAAAACTTTCTAATCACTAATAATAAATAAACGAAAAAAGGAATATAATAAGCAAAAGTTATTAATAAAATAAAATTCATTTTAAGTGGATTCATTAATGGGCAAGTTTAACATATTTAAGAGCTAAAGGAAAAATTTGTTGTAGATTTGCATAAATTCAGAATTTCCGTCAGAGGTTACAAATTTTACATCCCTGAACTTAACAAATTCAAAATCAGGTTCTGATAGTGTATTCAAAAAAAATAAACAAAAAAATCATTAGATTAAAAATTTTAAAACTGTTTCAGTTAAGTTACAAGAAAATTTTATATTGAACCCCAATTTTGAAATAGTAATGGATTGAAATTGTGAAGCAAGAGGATCCTAAAATGTAAGTTAATAAAAATAGTAAAACAGCGCTACGCAAACTTTAAAATTTAAAGAACAAATTATAAAATTTAAACATGCATACTATACACCTGCATACTACTTAAAAAATATGTTTTTTGATTGGATTATAAGAACGTTCAATAAATTTTATCTATTAATTTTTGAAAATAAAATGTATAATAAATTGGAAATACTAAAATCAAGACTTGA